AACATGACCTTAAGTTTCAAACTATTTTTAGAAAATACATATACAATTGCATACAATTTAGGAATAGTAGCCAGTAGGTACGATAAGTTATACGACTTACAATATTTACCCRGAAATAAAAACTATGGCTTTAACTTACTGCTTACATGGTTATAGGTTACAAAGTATAACATTTAAAMTCTAAGAAGAATTAAATAATTGTATTAGGTACTTACCTACATTCTACAAGTATAAAATAGTTTGTAACATAAATATAATATAATATTATGTTGTATAAATGTATAATATAAGTTACATATATAATAGGTACATTGATACTTAATAAAAATGTTAAATAGGTATTATTAGGTATACCTTATATCTACCTACTATAATATATTAAAAATGATTTCTTACTTCTTAGTAATGAATGTTTATCATTTTTAAAGTGTTAGAGTATTATTGTTTAATTTCGTAGTATATTTATTTATTATAATTATTACCAATAATATAATAACCTTTTATAATTTATTTATCGGTCAGATTAAGGGGCTTCAGCCTATGACCTGCGGTCCCTTTTTGTAAAGCTCGAGATTAATGGTTTTGATCTTGGTTATAGTAAAGAACTAAAGAATCACGTGAAAATTTTTGCCTTCACTTAAACGACCTTTATAATACCTACTGAATAATTTCTTTTAAAAAAAAACCTTCTCCTGGCCGAAAATGAGAGCATTGAGCGATGTTATACGACATTCGAAGGCGAAATATTTGGGAAAACACTGTTTGAGATAAATCGTGAAATCATTCAGAAGTTTCGTTGAAAAAGTAAAAACAAAATACGATGCCTGACCTACTATTGTCAAAAAAATTTTGGGAGGGGAGGTAAATATAGAGAGACCCTCGGATAGGCACTTCGATAACTTCATAAAAATAATTGTAAAAGTTAGATAGTGTCAGCAGAAACGTTGTTCATAAATAAGTCTTGAATTCTTTTAGATATTATTATATATGTAGGTATACCAGTATGCTCGCATTATATAAATAATAGGTATTTAATGATACTTTTATATTATAATATCAATTTTAACATGTTTATTTTTAAGTCAATTCCAAGATTTATTTTTTAATATTGTGTACCTAATTAAGTTATAATGTAGATAATTATATGCATATAGGCGGAAAATCCTCAAGCTTCCATGGTGTTTTTGTGGTTGGACCATACATCTGACAACTTGCCCCAGACCAGGCAAGTGCGTATCGAAGGCACCGTCAAAAAGCTGACCACAGAGAACATGAAAGAGCTGTACGACATTGAACCGCTGTTTTGTAAGATCCGTGCGCAAGTCTGTGAACAAGGAAAGGTGGTAGAGTGGGATCAACTAAAGCGCGACCACGATCAATTGTTCGACAAAGTATCCAAGTATAATGTTCAACTTCCTAAGCCCGACCACGTGTAAGTATCAATCATATGTTTAAAATATATCTACTATAAGTTCCTATTTATACGTATAGAGTATTTAATGATAGGATACATCATGGGTGCATAATTCTGAGCATAGATTGACCATAATATTTATAGAGCAGATTGCGTGAAAATGAAGTTCAAACATTGAAACAYGATGATTGTGTAATGGGAAATTCCAATAATTAAATTGTAGTTGGCATTTATCAATCATTATATATATTTGGGCACATATTTTACAGTATGACACAATTTCCAATTGTTTAAATTAATGAATTATATTATGTAGTATATTACACTAGTATATTATACTATTAATAATATGCTTGTGTATTAAAACGTGATTTGTCTATACTCTATAGCCTATACAAAAATTATAACACCTCTATATATGGTTTAATGATTCTGTTTTGATATAATACTCAAGCTGTGTCAAGCTATAAGCATTAACTCTGCTAGTCGCCACTTCAGATGTGTACGTAATATATACCTACCTATAAATTATAATACATTAATACCTATACGGATATATCTAATAATTAATATTTAATTAGCATGAACACAGTATATCTAAGACACGCATAATATTATAAATTATAATGCAGGATAATCTATATCTACTAGGTACCTACTATACACACGTATTTTTAGAAACACACTAGTCCTTTGTCGTTAATATCAAAATTATTTTTGGACCTCTATATTCGATTATTGCATAATTCATAGTAAATAATATGCACTATACTATATACA